TGGGTGTCTGTGTGTGTGTATGCGTAAATTATTTTCAGATACAGTGTATTTGTAAAGAGACAAAATGAATAAAAATACAAGAGGAAAAATATTCTTAGCCGACGCCTTTCGTCCTCTGAGAGACTTTATCAAGGCAACTCTAAGGATTTATTTTGTTATACGTGCTTATATACAGGAGCAAGGATATCATTTGTTTGTCAAGGCTTTTAAATCTGAGAACGTTCAACGACCTGATGAAGACTCATGAACGTTCTCAAATTTAAAAGCCTTGACAAACCAATGGCATCTTTGCTCTTGTATATAAACCCGTGCAACAAAAAAATCTTTACGCGTCGGCTCAGAATAGTTTTTCTTCTTGCCTTTAATACATACACACACACATATATATATATATATATATATATATATATATATATATATATATATAATTATTAGGACTATTCAGCTGTAGCTAATGTTCTAATGCCGGATTTCATTATAAAGATTTCTGGCAATTTTCGGCCATTATTTAAAATGAGTTTCAAAGTTGTTGAAAGAAAACTGAACGTGCTGTAGAAGTGTTGTTGTTCTTCTTCTGTGTGCCGTGTCCGTTCAGGACATTGGCTGTGAAATAACGCGTCATGAGACATACAATTCTATATTTGTCATTTTTAAGTGTTAGTCGATAAAAGGATACAAGTCGACACAAGCAGAATTCGAAACTAATTCGCCAGTTCCATTTCTTTGTTTTCTCTTCATGACACCCATAAACCCTTTCAGCAATCGATAGTATTACTTAAAAAAATCTCTGTAAATATTTAGTATTAGTGATGAAAATAATAACATAACGTCATAAATCAATTATAGCCATTGTTGGAAGCCCCGTTGTGATATCTTTCTTAGTATCCCCCAGTTTTACTTTCGCTGAGTGTACTTGTTTGATAATATCGTCGCAGAGGGAGAAAGCGATAAATTTTATGTTATGTCCCTTGAAAACATTATCTTTTTTTTTTAATTATTCAGACCAGATCATTATGGAAACTGCATGTTCGCATTCCGAAGCTTATGACACACTAATAGAAACAACCTGTCTTTCTTAATGCCAATGTCGCCAACACGGCTTCTATTTAAAAAAAATCATCACACCATAGCAATTTCTAAAGAAATAAGATATTGTTTCATTTTCATAAATAAACGATTTTCGTACAGTAGAATCCTACCAGGATTCATATTTGGCGACCACAATCTTAACAACATAAGATATGCAGATGACACAGTGTTGATGGCAGACTCAGAATGGAAAATGCAGAAACTTCTACATAAGCTAGTAAAGGAAAGCGAGTAAAAAGTACTAAACAGCAACTCTAAGAAGACGTGGCTGTATGGTTGTCAGCAAAAAACCAAAAAAACCCAAAAAAAACACGAATTATAAATTAGAGATAACAAAATATATACTAAGTGAAAAAATATAAACATTCAAGAGGACAGAAAATGCGACAACGAAATCCGAAGGTGCATTATTGTAGCGAAAGATACTTTTAAAAAGCTAAGCAAAATATTAAGGAACAGGGAAGGTTAATTAGTGTACTGAATTATTATGTAATATCAGTCCTCCTATATAGCATTCAATGCTGAACAATCTCACAGATGAAGAGGCTTGAAGCAACAAAAATATGGTTCTACAGAAGGATGCTGAGAATACAATGAACTGAAAAGGTGAGCAACGACAGCATTTTAGAGAAATATAGCAAAAACAAATTTTTGTAAGGGCTACAACGAACAGGAAGCTGTGGAGAGTCATGATTGTGCTGAATCGTCACGGCACATAGAAGACATTTCATATTAATAAAGGAAAAATGTGCACTGTCTTCGGATTGACTGAGTTATTTCACGGTTTATCAACCTTTTTCTGGTTATTTAAGGCCGAAACATATTTTTGAATTGTATATGAAATAATTATTTATTCCAAATGAATATGGTAGTGAAAATTTGGCAAATAAGTATAAATTATGAAACACTGATTTTCTAGATAAAACTCACGTAAAGATGAGTGGAAATAAAGTTTTGACATAAAACTAGATCGTATGACTTTTCCAAGTATCAACCGGACATAACTGGAAAACTTATATTCTTTAGGACAATTTCCTTTGCGAGTTACAAAATTTCACTTTAGCTTATCTGCTCTGTAGTACTTAACTTGTGTTTGTTGCAATCTGCTACAAATGGTATGCTCAATTGTTTCCTGACATGGCATGCACAACAGTGGTTCTTCGTTTTTGAGTAGGTATTGGTGGGATCAAGTGGTTCGGACACCTCACCGTATGCCTATCAACCAACCAGCCCTACGAGCACACACTCGTATGCCTATCAACCAACCAGCCCTACGAGCATACACCCTCAAGTACTCTGGCTGGAAAGCGAGAGGCAGACCAAGAAGACGCTGGAGCGACTCATTGGCAGACACTCTCAGAGTCCACGAGATCTCTCTCCTCCAGGCCACTCGCCTTGCCGCTGACAGACGACTGTATCCCCTAACAGCACAAGCGGAAGGAAAAACTAAATTAATCATTGGTGGGTGTCGTGTGTGTGTCCTGTACGAAGTCTGGCTAAGAGAAACCTCCTCTTATCTGGCTGTAGACTGTGTGTCTTTCTTCGACGTTTGGCCTGATTTGAAACACGAGAGAATTATTTCGTTAGCACTTTCGTTTTTCAAAACTATCTGAAATCTCTTTTCACGATCGTCAACAGCCGTCTCATCGCGTTCTACATATTTTGGCGGTGACTTGTTAAATTGAACTCTATCGATTGAGGAGATAACAGGCCTTGGATGTAATGGAATAGTTCAGAAGTCTTTTGCTCTTGTGTCCCATGCTGACAACGTATTTACATTTCGTTCTTATAAATTGCAAGTATTTGTTGGCTTCCCTTTGTAGTTGAACAAAGCCTGTGAGGTTCCCTTTCGGAATCGCCATGAATTCTTTCGTTGCATTTTACATAATCTGTGCGATTCAACGGTTACTTTAGTTTTAGGAAAAAAATTAGAAGTCATTGGGACGTACATTTTGGACTATACTGGTTGTGGAACTGATAGATTTGATTGGAGAAATATTGTACAAAAATAATGGATAAATACAAACAACGCCTTACAAGACGTGAAGAATATACTCACACCCTCATTATAAAAACGACGGTCATTCAGTTCACAGTTTCCTTCAATGGCGCCTCACTTCCGGGTGAGTATTCTTACAGTAGGGTGTATGCTCATGCACGCGATCAAGGAAAAATCGAATAAATACTTCAGTCTTTTCTTGTTCAATCGTGACTTCTTCTTCTTCTTCTTCTTCTTCTTCTTCTTCTTCTTCTTCTTCTTCTTCTTCTTTCAGGACGTCGGCGATCATAGCGCTTTACAGTTTCTTATCATTTTTAGTCCTAAATAATGTTTGTCTTCTTATTATCACTTCTCCTTTTTTCTGCCATCCATTTACACAAACTCGTTAGGTAAATTATTCAGTTTACCTCCGTCTTTCTTGCCTTCAGTATGTCTAGTGAGTGTCAGTTTCTCCAAACCTACTTTTCTCATTATGCATCCCAAGAATTTACACTATCTTTTTTTAAGATTCTAACTATAAGTTTACCTTTTTTCCATTTTCCTTAAAACTTCCAAGTTGCTCACATATTCCATCCATGATATTCTCGATATCATTCTGTAAAACCACATTTTTTGTTGCCTCCAGTTTTCTCTTCATCTGTGAGGAAAATTCATTTCTACATAGGTGGATTGATATTAGATAACATGACTACAGTTCCTGAAAGGTTGTAAAATAATAACGAATTTTCTTGATTTTAAGAACTTAAGTGTCAAATATAACACGAAATCTTTTTGGATAAGAGTAAGAGCCAGAATATACATACTTTCTTCGTACTTTGCTGCAGGTATCATGACGACCATCTATTATTAACGCTTGTAGTGTAATGCGGGAAGAACTGTTTGAGAGTCACCGCAATATTATTATTGTTCTTATTCTTTCATTTCCTGCTCGAAGTCTAAATTAATTCTGTATCTTCGTCATCGGCATCGCAGACCATTAATTTCCTATGCTCCTGTGTCAAACTCTCATGCAGCGTCACATGCGGCTACAAAGTCTAATATGTGAGTGGCAGACATGGCTACAGATGTTGCATGTTCCGACGTGTCCCAATGACGTTGCTCAAATGGGGGTGTCCCCCCCCACCGTTGTTTATATTCCTCCTCGTTTTCTTGTCTTCCCTTTGATGAACCAAGTTGGAATAATATGCAAGTACTGCAGATTGACTGCTACCATTGAAGGCGGTGTTGAGTACTGTTTTGCCGAGTGGCAGTGTTGATATTAAACGGCATGAGGTTTGGTTTACAAACGTTAAATCGAAGTTGTGGGCGTCTAATTGTTCTCCTTCAGTTTGAAAGATCTGCCTGGAGAATATCCTTCGGAATTTTTCCGCCATGCACCCTCTGGACATGGTCCAACCAGCGCAGACATCGCTGCCTCAGAAGAGAGTAGAAGGTGGGAGGCTGTGATCTTTCAAGGACTGAGAAAATTTTAAATACACTCATTGTTTTTTAAAAGAAACATTAAAAATTTAACTCTGCCATCCCTCAAAACTTCAATAAAATGGATAAATAACCGAAAGCAATTTTTTTTTAGCAAAATTAAATAACTGCAATACAAATTGAAAAGAGATACTTCAAATGAAATGTTTCACGATCGAGACGCGGGATGTGCGGGTGGCTTAATGGTTAGCAACGCAGAATACGAAATCGGCGAGCCGTGTGCGTGTTCGTTACATTCAGTTTCGCGGGAAAATTATGAATCCATTTCTTCTTATCCCAACTATGGACTAATTAGTAAAGAAAACTGGTCTCTTCTACCTTGGTTGGCAGCTAACCCAGGAGAAGGAGAAACCCTGAATTTAAAACAGGTTTGGCATGAGGCTAGCAACTCTATCCTATGAAAACTTGCTAAGAAAACTACAGCAGTCCATACTCCACAGTTGGAATTGACGGAACGAGAAAGAGCGACAGAAAGAGAGAGAAAGAGAGAGAGAGAGAAGGAGAGAGAGAGAGAGAGAGATGATCGAGCTTTGAAGTATTTTTTAAGTACAGCATTTATCAGATCAAATAAGTAACAAGAACAAAAAGTTCACTTGGAAGTGATATTTGAGTTTTCCATTATCATAATATTACATTATTTTTAAGTCTCACATTATCTTTGAATGCTATATTTGAGTTTTCTATTTGAGTCTTTCATTATATTTGAGTCTTCGGTTATTGTCGTGTCTTCCATTTGTGTATTCTATTTGAGTCTCCCATTGTATTCGAGTCCTCTATTATATTTAAGTCTTTTATTATTGTTGTGTCTTCCATTTGAGTCTCCGATTAAATCTGAGTCTTCCAAATGAGCCTCCCATTATATCTGAGTCTTCCGTTATATTTGATACTTCTATTATTGCTGTGTCTTCCATTTGAATGTCCCATTATATTTGAGTCTTCTGTTATTATTGTATCTTGTATATAATCCTTCCATTATCTATGAGTCTTTCATTTGAGTCTCCCATTATATTTGAGTCTTCCATTTGAATCTTTTATTATATTTGAAACTTCTGTGTCTTCCATTTGGGTTTCCCATTATATTTGAATCTTTTGTTATTATTGTGTCTTGTATATAAGTCTTCTCTTATCTATGAGTATTTCGTCATATATGAGTCTCACATTTGAGTCTTCCATTATATTTGAGTCTTCCATTTTCCGTGAGCTTTCCGTTTGAGTCTCTCATTATATTCGCATCTTCTGTTATCGTTGTTTCCATTATCATTGCCACATCATAAGAAATTTGAACATTTCGATATCATTTCATATGTTTGCCACGAAAAAAAAAAGTCTTATTTTCTTTCTCACAGTTTATTTTTAATTTACTGTTAATCCATCCAGTGCAAGGCCTAAGTGTCCCTCAAGGTAGATTTAACTAACATTTTGTAAGGGAGGGGTAGGAGCAAGTAAGAAATTTAAATTATGATGACGTATAGGCTAGATATCGGTTGACCCTAGACTTAGAAATCAAAATTATAGTTTTCAGGGAATCATCCCCTCAGGAGTTTGTTTCACAAAGCAATAAGTGAATCAAAAATATTTTTATATCAGATTATTTGTTTTTGAGATGATTTAAAAGTTAAGTTATTATCTACGGATATTAGAGTTTAGTGTTTTGATATTGTTCACTAGGTGCTATTCAGAACTTATCTTTTGAATAATTTAATCGATTGAATTCGTCCCAAACTCTTGGGTGAATTGCAAAGCGTCTAAAATAAATTGGCAGTATAGCTTTTGACGAGGGTCGAAAAACTGCAACTGATTCGGTGAGGATCATGAAATGGTTCAGAAACAGGCAAACGAAAATCGACCTGGAACTTTAGTTTTGGATCAGGAATTAAGAAAATATATTGTAGTGCCAATATATCAAAAACATATCTGACAGGGGGACGTTTGATATAAGTTCATTTTGTGATAACATGAACATCACAGAAATGATTCTTCAGAGGATAAATAAACGACCGAGAGAAAATAATCAGCTATAGTTTATAGAGGAATATATATATATATATATATATATATATTTGGTTGGATTGATGTGAGTTTGTGACCCTGGGTTTCACGCTTTTGCGATCGTCAGGGTTTGTCTGACGATCACAAAAGCGTGAAACCCAGGGTCACAAACTCACATCTATCCAACCAAATATGTTAGCTCTATCTCTGATATTGAGCGCTTTCTAATAAGTACTGCGTGTATAATATATAAATAATTATATATATATATACATATATATATATATATATATATATATATATATATTTATTTATATTTATATACACACACTTTTCACACACACACACGCATACACACACACACACACACACATATATATATATATGTATATATGCACGTGTTTGCATGTGATGAATTATTTTATGATCGAGGCAATTGCCAGGATATTGTGGACTCTTACTGACTTCTCGAAAAAGGCTGCCTTAGCGATGTCTATTACCTCATTCAGAGAAAGCCTTAGCGATGTCTATTACCTCATTCAGAGAAAGCCTTAGCGATGTCTATTACCTCATTCAGAGAAAGCCTTAGCGATGTCTATTACCTCATTCAGAGAAAGCCTTAGCGATGTCTATTACCTCATTCAGAGAAAGCCTTAGCAGTGCATGTCTCCATTTTAGTGACAATCTTAGCAATTCTTTACTCATTTTGGTAAAAAAAAAAAAATTTTAGTGAGGTAGTACTGAGTTATTTTCTCCTTTTGACAGGAAAGAATCAGGAGCTGCTCTAAAGTCACTTGTCATAGTTAAATGTAATTGGCAGGAATGTCCAACAAACAGAATTGACAAATTTTGCAATAAACTATGACAAAAGAAAGAAAAGAACAGGGCAAAAATAATTTTAAGCAAACAATATAGGCAAGACAAAAGTAGGCAAAGTAAGAATGGTGTTAACACACAAATCATTCCTATGCCGATTGAAATCATCATACAAACACAAATATATATATATATATATATATATATATATATATATATATATGTGTGTGTGTGTGTGTGTGTATACTATCTCACTAAAAAGTGGTTATCACCAAAAAGAGACAGGCATTGCTAAGATCATCACTAAAACGGAGACACGCACTACTAAGGCTTTCTCTAGATGAGGTGATATAGGTGATAGTCGTCGCTAAGATAGCCTTTTTATATATATATATATATATATATATATATATAGATAGATAGATAGATATTCCCCTATAACCTATAGCTGATGATATTCTCTAGATCGTTCATATATATATATATATATATATATATATATATATATATGTGGGGGGAACGTTGAAAATTTATCGGTCCACGAATTGATTCTAAAATACAATCTGATATTTGATAATTTGGCCAGATTTCGTGGGAAATTAATCAGGCCGAGAACTTCAACATCCCTTACATACATACATACATACATACATACATGCATACATACATATGTGTGTGTTTCTGTGGTATGCGTGTATTTTAAATTCTGTACATATTTTATTGAGATCATACTAAACGTAAAAACTAATTATCGTCAACTTGTTTATACTTTCAGCCATTAAAATTGTTAATTTTACTTACATTTGATAGCAGTTCTATGTAATTTTTAATGAAACTTATTCCCAAATTTGTAGCAGGATCTTCGATTAGATTTTTTTTCATAAACAGTTCCAATGATTTACATTTTGCATTCTAATTTTGAGATTTTTTAAAGAGTAAAAAATTTGATACACCTTAGATTTTACAACTAAGTTTAGAATAGACAAATTGGCACAAAAGTTTTGTCACATCGAACCTCCAACGTTTTTTGTAACAATAAAATTTTGTGAAGATATTACAATATTTATTTGGGACACGCATTATATTAATTGAAGAGGTATATAAAAATAAAAAAAAGAAGCGTGTGAAAAAGGATGCATCTTTTTACTGGATTTATTTAACCTTTACAGCGGAGATGATATTATTACTGTTTCACTCTCTTTCTTTTGTAGTGTTGTGCTTATTAAATAACATCGGATGTAACTGTTTACCGAAGTATCAGCGATGAGAAATTCTTCTTAGAGAATCACGGCTTTTATCCATTAAGAGTTGCATTTTCGTAGGCCAAGAGAAGAGATTGGTTTCTTAGTCCCAACTCTGTCAGAATGAAATCCTGGTTTTCTGAATAGCTCCGATCTTAAGGCACTTCTCTCAATTATCCAGATTTAGATAATTAAAAGAACGTCATCCTCGTGAATATTTCACGCCCGCTGGATATACTCATAAGAACATCACACCTGCTTCCTAATTATCGCCTTCGGCGGAGTTATTTTAATCACAATCGCATTTATGAATGCTTTAAAATGTTATTAACGGATAATGAAAAATTCATTTATATCAATGCGTATTAGTGAATGCTATTTACTGACAGATATGCACACACTCTGATCTTTACTAAGCTTACTCATGCCACACTTTGGTAAATGGGTCTATGACGATATTTAATGCGCCAATCGTCTCTCTAAGGAAAGCCTTCCTATTGAGAACATCGACATTCTTACTTTGGCAAGAGGTCGAACTCTGGCTCAGTTGAACCCATAAACAGGCCATATATGTGCGGACAGGGTAGGACAGAAGTAATAGTTTCTAATAAAAAGGAACAGGAAACATATGTATTAAAAAAAGTGTGATACACTTAAATGAATAAAATACTTAGCAGATTATATAAATTATATTATAAATTATACTTAGCAGATTATATAAATTATATTATAAATTATACTTAGCAGATTGTATAAATTATATTATAAATTATACTTAGCAGATTATATAAATTATATTATAAATTATACTTAGCAGATTGTATAAATTATATTCTAAATTATACTGAGCAGATTGTATAAATTATATTATAAATTATACTAAGCAGATTATATAAATTATATTATAAATTATACTTAGAAGATTGTATAAATTATATTATAAATTATTCTTAGCAGATTATATAAATTATATTATAAATTATACTTAGCAGATTGAATGTGTACCTGTATTTATGAAAATACGTTTGATAAGGTGAATCATAAAGAACTGCTGGAACTTCCAGGCAATCTTGACATATTTGCAAAGGGTATATTGGCACCAATCCGACTGTATACCGATAGAAAATGAATTCAGTAAACATACAAGAGTAGAAAGAGGTGCAAGACAAAGATTTCTTTTCACATCGCCCTTATTTACTGTCTACATTGAGGCGATTTAGAGAGAATTAGAAGTACGTTCAGGACTAATTACTGGTGGCCACAATCTTAACAACATAACATATGCTGATGACATAGTGCTGATAGCAAATACCAAGGAAATTACAAGAATTCCTACAGAAGGTAGTGAGAGAAACTGAGAAGGACAAAACCTCAATTGCAAGAAAACAGAATTCACGGTTGTTAGGCAAAGGAAGAGCCCAACATAAGAATTACAAATTGGAGATACAAAAGTCAAACAAGTACAATAATTTCATAGTATAGGAAGTGTTTTAACAGAAGGGGCAAGCG